GGAATGCCCCCAAAGTCCCCCGCTGGGGGTTGAAGATGGACTTGGCAACCCTAATGGTTTGTCACCGGGGGGGGGGGTACTGACAGTGGATTACCCTTGCCCAGGCATAATGTGTATTCCAGCAAGCATGCGGAACAGTGATGTTTTATGGCTGGAATTCTATCCAAGAACTTTGGCTCCCAAAATGCTTAGCACATAAAACATCCAGAAGAAGGTTGCTATCACTTATGTCTGTGCGCATTGTGCTAGGAATTCCAAGCACGTGAATAATGTCCTTCCTGATGTACCGTATTAGAGAAGCCCAGAAAATCAAGGAAAGTGTTTTACACATATCAGCAGGGCAATGGGATGTCGTGACGCCATTCTGTGGCTCGCCCAGTTCAAAGGCTCTTCCTTAAATTGGGAAGGATCACAGAAATATTTGATTCATGTCCTTGTACTGACAAGAATAGATGAAAGTGAATTTAAATAAAGATTTCAGTTGCTCCTTAATTATGCGGTTATTATGCCAGTTTTGGCAAAGTATTCCCCCGACATAAAGTTTTTTTTTTAAAAAATCAACCTTTTAAAACATTAAATTACCCCTTCAGTCTGCCAGCTCTAATGATAAATAAAGCTCTGTTCAATCTCATTACCCACTCTGATTCACCGTCTGGATTAATATTTGGTAAAAACTCTCCACCCTTGTAATAATGATGTGGATATGCAAAAGAAATTAATGGCACAAAATTACAGAAATTCTGCGGGGAATCGGGGTCCCTGCATAATTATGCAACGGGAAACGAAGGAGTTATTTTTTTTCCCGAAGACCTGCCTGATACCCACCAGATGGAACTCGAGTTGTGTTGCTGCACTTCATGGATTTGGCACATGATACGTCTGGATGACTTGTTTCCTGGTGCTCTATCTGAAAATAGCCCTCCTCGTAGCCATTAATTTGCTGGAGAGCCCCTCAGTACCTTCCGTGGAGAAAGCGCACACGGCAGAGAATTCTGTGACGTGTTCTTAGACATCTGCTTGTTTCGTGTTAGGCGCTGTCTACGCCTGTTGTGTGTCATCATCCTGTGTGAAATGGCATTGCAATGGGGGACGCGTCCCATGCATGTCTGATGTGCCAGCCAATCACTTCTGACTTATGGTGACCCTAAGAATGAATGGACTCCAGAACTACCTGTCCTTCCTTAACACCCTTGTTCGGGTCTTGCAAACTGAAGGCCCTCATGGTTTCCATGGTTGGGTCAATCCCTCTCATGTTGGATCATTCTCTCTTCCTGCTGCCATCAACTTCCGTCTTGTGGGGTTGTTTGTTGTTGTTGTTGTTGTTCAGTCGCCCGGTCAAGTCCGACTCTTCACGACCCCGTGGACCACATCACGCCAGGCCCTCCTGTCTTCCGTTGTGCTTTGGAGTATGCTCAACTTCATGTCCGTTGCATCGATCACTGTCTAACCATCTCATCCTTTGCCATCCCCTTCTTCTTTGACCTTCAATCTTTCCCAGCATCAGGGTTCTTCTCCGGTGAGTGCTCCCTTCTCATTTGGTGGCCAAAGTATTTGAGCTTCAGCTTCAGGATCTGGCCTTCCAGGGAACAGTCAGGGTTGATTTCTTTTAGGATTGACTGATTTGATCTCCTGGCAGTCCAAGGGACTCTCAAGAGTGAGTCTTCTCCAGCACCATAATTCGAAAGCATCTATTCTTTGGTGCTCGGCCTTCCTTATGGTCCAACTCTCGCTGTCATACATTACTATCTTGTGGGGATAGTAACTGGTTAAATAAGGACAAGCAGAGGTTAGGAATAAATGGAGGGAAGTAAGCACTGGGGTCCCCCAGGGATTTGTGTTAGACCCAGGGGTCATTGAGTTGTTGAGCAAACTTCAGAGGAGGTCAGAGGACGGCGGAAGACGGGAAGGCCTGGTGTGATCTGGTCCATGGGGTCGCGAAGAGTCGGACTCGACTGTGCGACTGAACGACAACAACAACAGGGGTCATTTCCTGCAGGAGCGTACAGGAGTGGCGCTCCGGCAGTAAAGAGCCCAGGGGGTTTCGTTTAGAAAAAAGATGAGTATGGAAAGTAATAGAAAAGAGCAAGAGTCCAGTAGCGCCTTAAAGACCAACAAAATGTGTGGCAGGGGAGGAGCTTTTGTGAGTCACTGGCACACTGCCTCAGATCTATGGAGAGTAATGAAAGGGGTTTATAAAATTATGTCTGGTGACGGGAGTGTCCTTTTTCCACATCTCCCACAATACAATTAGTCTGGGGTGCATC